TGTTTCTCTCTCATCGATGTTTCTAACTCTCTATCTCTCTCCCTTCCTCTCTGTGGAAAATCAATAAAATATATTTTTAAAAAAAAAAAAGAATAATAGATTTATAATGAGCCTCTATTTACCCATAAGCTAGCTTCAACAATTATCAGTACATTTCTACCCCCATCTCAACTGGACTGTTAAAAATAAATTTCACACATAATATCTATGAGAACTTCCTATAACTCTTATATTTTTATTTTTAAAAAAATAACTGCAATACAATTATCACATTTAAAAAATATAACCAAATATCAGTGTTTAAATTTCCTTGAGTTTTGATTATGTAAAAAAATTTTTCTTCTCTTGGGTTTTTTGAATTGGGGACCAAAGAATGGCTTGCTTTCTCCCTCCCTCCCTTTCTTTCGAAGACGAGAATATTAAAGTATAATTTATATATAGTAATATTCACCTGTTTTAAGTGTACAGATATATAAATTTTGATAAACATATAGTCATGTAACCACTACCACAATCAAGATAGAATATTTCCATCATTCCAAAAAGTTGCCTTACATCTCTTTCTAATTAATCCCTTACCCTTACCCCCAGACTCTGGCAATTATTGATTTGATTTCTGTGTCTACGTTTGCCTTTTTCATATCACCATATAAATGGAATTATATAGTATAACCTTTTGTGTCTGGCTCCTTTGATTTAGCACAGGGGTTGGTAAATTGCCTGTGGGCCATATTAGGCCCATTGCCTTTTGTATATAAAGTTTTATTGAAACATAGCCACATTCATGTTTACATATTGTCTGTGACTGTTTTAAACGACAGTGACAGAGTTGAATAGTTGTGACAGAGGCTTTATGGTCTGCAAAACCTAAAATATTACCATGATGCCCCTTGACAGAAAAAAATTGCCAATTTCTGTTTTAACCTAATGCATCTAACCAATTCATCTGTCTGATTGCATATATTAGTAGTTATTCCTTTTGATTGTTGAGTAGTATTTAATTGTATGTATTCATCACATTTTAAAGAATTCATAACCAATTGAAGGACAGTTGGTATGTTTTTTTATTAGCAGTTTTTGGCCAGTATAAATATAGCCACTGAAAACATTTGAGTGGACATGTTATCACTTCTCTTTGGTAAATACCTAGGAGTGGGATTACTGAGTCATGTGGTAAATACATGCTTAACTTTATAAGAAACTTTGAAACCATTTTCCAAAGTGGATGGACCATTTTATATTCCTACTAGCACTGTATTAGAGTTAGCCAATTCTAGAATTCTAGTTACTCTGTGTCTTTGTCAGTACTTAATAGTATCAGTTTTTGTTTTTAAGCCATTGTAAAAGGTTTATAGTACTATTTCATAGTGGTTTTAATTTGCATTTTCCTAAAAATGGATGATACTGAGAGATTCTTTTCATGTGGTTATTTGCTATCTTCCCCCCCGAACCCCCCATTTTAAAATTAGTTTGGATTTTTAAAAATTGAGTTTGGAGAGTTCTTTACATATTCATTTATTAGATAAGTGTTTTGCAAATAATTTTCCCCAGTTTGTAACTTGTCTGTTTTCTTTCTTTTTAAAAAAATATATTTTATTGATTTTTTACAGAGAGGAAGGGAGAGGGTTAGAGAGTTAGAAACATCAATGAGAGAGAAACATCGACCAGCTGCCTCCTGCACACCCCCTACTGGGGATGTGCCCACAACCAAGGTACATGCCCTTGACTGGAATCGAACCTGGGACCCTTCAGTCCACAGCCAATGCTCTATCCACTGATTAAGGTATTACAAATGGCTGTCCTCTTTCTTTTTTCTTTTCTTTTTTTTTATTATTAGTTAAGGTATTACAAATGTGTCCTCATCCCTCCCATATGTTTTCTTAATAGTACCTTTCGAAGAGTAGAGCTTTCTAAATTTGATACCAATTTAACATTAAAAAAATATTTTTTAATTGATTTCAGAGAGGAAAGGAGAGGGAGAGAGAGTTAGAAACATCACTGATGAGAGAGAATCATTTATTGGCTACCTCCTGCACACCCCCTACTGGGGATCTATCCCGCAACCCAGGCATGTGCTGTGACTGGGAATTGAACCCAGGACCTCTTGGTCCATGGGATGATGCTCAATCCACTGAGCCACCACAGCTGGGCAACATTTTTTTCTTCTTAGGATTTATACTTTTTGTGTCCTATTCAAGAAATCTTTGGCAATCCAAGGTCACAAAAATTTTCTTCTGTGTTTTCATCTAGGAGTTTTTTAGTTTTAGTTAACTTAGATTTATGATGTATTTCAAGTTGATTATTTTTATATATTGCAAGGTATGTCAAGGTTCTTATTTTTTATTTATTTTTAAAATCTTTACCCGAGGATATGTTTTTATTGATTTTTAGAGAGAAAAACATCAACTGGTTGCCTCCCCTATACACCATGACCAGGAATTGAACTTGTAACATTTTGGCATATGAGAGGATGCTCCAACCAATTGAGCCACACCTGCCTGGGGACCTTTTTTGAAATGTATGGATGTCCATTTGTTCCAGAATCATTTGTTGAAAAAGCTACACTTTATCCATTGAATTACTTTGATACCTTTATCAATTATTGCCGGGCTGGTGTGGTTCAGTGGTTGAGCATCGACCTATGAACCAGGAAATCACAATTCCATTCCTGGTCAGGGCACATGCCCAGGTTGCAGGCTTGATCTCCAGTGGGCTGCCAATCAATGATTCTCTCTCATCATTGATGTCTCTCTCCCTTCCTCTCTGAAATCAACACAAATACATTTTAAGAAATTGCCCATGAATTATTTCCTTAAGAAGGGTGAATTATGTACAAAATATATGTCAAAAAGGTTATTTGTAAAAAATCATTTGACCACGTACAAATGTACCTATTTCTAGAATCTTCTTAAAAATTCTTTTGGATATTGTGGGTACTTTGCTTATCCATATAAATTTTAGAATCAACTTGTCACTTTCTACAAAATGTCTCCTGGGATTTTTGTTGTGATTGTGTTGAATGTGTAGGTCAAATTGAGGACAATTTTGATAATATCAAATCTTCTGGTTCATGAAAATGTTATATTTCTCCATTTACTTAATCTTCTTTAATTCCTCTTACCAACATTTTGTAATTTTCAGCATATAATTTTGCACATCCTTTGTTCATTTATACCTAAATATGTCATGTTTTGGGATGCTATTGTAAAATATGCTTTTAAATTTTTTTAAATTGATTTTAGAGAGAGAGGAGAGACAGACATCGATTTTTGTTGTTCCACTCATTTATGCATTCATTGGTTAATTCTTGTATGTTCCCTGACCGTGGATCAAACCTGAATCCTTGGCTCATCAGATGATGCTCTAACCAACTGGCCAGGGCAAAATATCGTTTTAAAAACTTCAGATTTCTTATTGTTCATTGCTAGTGCACAGAAATAAGATTGATTTTTATGCATTGACCTTGTATTCTGTGACCTTGCCAAACTCACATATTAGTTCTAGTAGCTTTTATCAGATATTTTGGGATTGTTTATATCCTTTGCAAATAAAAGATAGTTTTATTTCTTCTTTTTCAATCCGTGTGCCTTTTACTTCTTTTTCTTGCCTTACGGCACTGTGGTTATATGTTCAGTGTTAAATAGGAGTAGTGAGAGTGGACATCCTTGCCTTGTTGCTGATCTTAGGGGAAAGCATTCTGTTCTGTAGGTTTCCAGAAATGTCCTTTATCAGGTTGAGGGTGCATTCCCTTCTATTCCTAGTGTGCTGGAAGCTTATATTGTAAATGGATGGTGAATTTTAGCAGGTCTCTTTTCCTGCATCTATTGAAATTATCTTATGTTTTTTATCTTTAGTGTGTTGATCGGGTTGAATTGCATTGACTATTTTTGTTTGCTTACCTTTTTTTAAAAATATATATTTTATTGATTCGTTACAGAGAGGAAGGGAGAGGGATAGAGAGTCAGAAACATCGATGAGAGAGAAACATCGATCAGCTGCCTCCTGCACATGTCCTACTGGGGATGTGCCCGCAACCAAGGTACATGCCCTTGACCGGAATCAAACCTGGGACCTTTCAGTCCGTAGGCTGATGCGCTATCCACTGAGCC